GGGGGGGGGGCAGGGCGGCCAATTAATTGGCATGCCCAAGAAAAAGCAACCAGCAGCGACTGCCACAAATAGCCCCTTTGGTTTTGTATGCCCGAATGTTATCACGAACACGTAGCCGCAAGTAGCACGCAACCCTACCCTTGACAGAGAACCTGTAAGGCCCAAAAAACCTTGAAAAAGTTTAACCTTTCTCCATACTGTCGGTTAGGCCCCTAAGTTTTTAACACTGCAAAAAATATACAGAGCCATGCTATGCTGTGCTACACTATGCTACGCTAGGCCAGGCTATGCTATGCTATGTATATTCTACTGACTCTACTGTACTATGCCACAGAGCACGATGCCCTACTACACTGACTGTCGCATACTATATTCTATGTGTTCTCTATATTTTAGTTTGATTCCTGACACTAAACGTATGTGCTGTATATGTGGCATATACGAATACTGTAAACCATATACTAATCTACATATTATATACTAACTATATACTGTATTCCGTTATATTATTCTATACACTAATCCGATATTCGATCTGCGAGATACTATGTACCAATTGCGATATATTGTATACGACATACTACGCAGTATATACGATGTACTATATACCATATTTGGTAGTCTGCATGTATTTTTACGCTTGTTTAAGATAGTTGTATACATGATATGCGATATACCATATGCTATATACGCTATGGCATGTACTATACACCCTAGATAGTATACTGACTGCATTGTACTATACAAAACACTACAATGCAATACAATTACTCTACTGTACTGTACTGTACTGTACTGTACCGTACTATACTGTACTGTACTATACTATACTATACTATACTATACTATACTATATCACACTTTCATGTTGATGTGATATGGTACAGTGGTGTGATACGGCATGGTAGGGTATGGTATGGATAAAAACTATGGTATGGTATAGTAAAGTAGACTAGGAAAGAGTGGAGGGCGGTAATAACAGTATAGTATAATACAGTACAGTACAGTATGACACAACATATTTTCAACAAAATACAATATGACAGACGATAATGGAATATGGATTTACATGGACGATAAAAAAACATAATGCGTACGTACACACGGCCAGCCAAGACGACTAACCTCCACGCATGTGGGCAGGCATCTTTACTTCCTTATGTCGAGTTTATACAAACACAACCTGATATAAAAGCATGATATATCTCTGCGTTTTTGGATAAGATGTATACAATGATGCTCCACACCTCGGAGTCCATGACAGAAAACCGTCGTATTTGATTAGATACCATCTGAATCACTGCAAGGCCGTGAAGCGAGTAGAGTCGAGTGGTGTTTGGGCTGAGTTTGGGTAATCTTGGCCGCTAGTAGTTTCACGCTTCGATTGCTCCGTCGGTTATGAGACTTTGCTTGTTCTGTCCTTTGCGCCATCCCAGCTTCTGCATCGCCTGTCCCGGTATGTGTTCTGGCCAGAGCCTTGTCACACAATTTTTGCGGGAATCTGTTTGGCAGTACGCCCTGTACTCTCGAGACCGCCCAGAGAGCCCAGGCGTGGGGCTCTCTGCAGTGTTCTGCAGCAGAACCCGGAGGCGCTTGATCGGCCACGGCTGCTGGTGCAGGCCGGCTTGCTTAAGGGTGTTTCGATTTTCGATGATGATCATGTCAGGACAGCACAGCAGTATGGTCATGATTATGATGAGGCAATTGGTGTTTTTCATGTGAGCATGGTGCAGAGAATTGTGATTGTTCTTGTTCTAGCATCCTGGGCGAAACAGCGATTGCACCATGTGCAACAACAAGTCCCCTCAGTCAGTGGAGATCAGCACATGTCTATGTCGCAGGGTGAAGTCTCTTGCGATGTGAATAGTGAACCAATAGTTCCCACAAGAATGATGTTCGTTGGCAATGCAATCGTTTCAAGATTGTTTTTGTGTATGTCTTGTCGCGCATGCAGCAGGAACGAGGGGTGTTCCTGGATCTAGGTCCTCGGGCGGTCATGCCCAGTGGAAGCCCGAAGTTCTAGCCTGAATCTTTCCCAAACCCTCATGTAGGCCCAGGGATTCTGACACTTGGACCGAAGAAATCAGGCCATGGACGCCCTGGCCAAGTCCCAGAGTGCTGAGGCTGGGATTCAAATTCAAAGCGCATAAAAAGGATCCGATGCTGGTACTAGTGATTGTGACTTTGGCGATGATGGTGCGGGCGATAATGAGGTAGAGAAGACGGGATGGATGGGGATGAGGATGAGGAAGTGATGAATGCAGGCTTTCCTGTGAAACTCGTGGGGAACCACATAAACCCTAAACCCGAAACCACGATGGGATCAAGTCACAGCGACAACACCGGCTGCCTTGGTGGGATGAGACGATGTACTTGTAGTTACTCGTAGGAGAAGTCCTAACTGAAAGGAGCTATGAACGCCGACTCAACAGATGCACAGAAGTAGAAGTCTTGCGCCAGTGAGAGGAAGGTCTTCTGAAGGCCATCAGCAAGCAGATCGTCTACCACATGGCCCTCTGCTCAAAGATCCGGATTTCACTTCGGCAAGTCTTCTCCTTGAAGCGGGCTGGGGGCAGTGGAGTTTGCTGTTGTGCTTCAACATTTCGAGACTATGTCCCTGGGGGAATGCAGGTCTGCATGGGTGTATGCACGTGTGTGTGGGTGTGTGTCAGTATGTATATATGTAAGTTTGGAACGGCTGGCGGGAGGGCTGTAGGGGTCAAGGGCGACAAGACTCAACATGCGCCGGTGAGTCATAGACCGCTGCAGCAGGAAAGCACAGCTTCAGGCATCTTGCTTTCAAGGTTTGTGCCTTCAGAAGACATGATCAAGTAGGACTGCAGAAGATGTCCACTTGGATTGGTGTGTCATTACAGTAGGCTGATGACTTGATGAACTCCATTGCCCAGATCTACTGCAGACTGTTACAGCTTGCTACTGCCAGTAGGCAGCAACTGCGACCGCAGCTAAGCGAGGATGAAGGACTCTGACAAGCCATGCGAGCTTTCTCCAGGTGGACTTCAGTGTGAAGGACTTGGCTATCACAGCGAATGCATGCCAGCGAATGCGGGTAGCCTCAGCTCAGCTCGTGGGGCATTCCGGGAGAATCGTGTTCGTTTGCAGCAGTGTGCGCCTCTCAACCGTCGTGAACATCGGAAGAATGACAGTATCCAGTCTTGAGTGAGATGCGGCACCCACAGGGTATAGGAGCACATGCATGCTGCTTTAACTCGTGAGTTTGTGTCGGGAAGTGGAACACGCGCTCCCATCCACTTTGCTTGCATGGCGAGGCTTGTGAGAGACGGCGCCATTCTGGAATCTTTGGTGCGACAGGCGTGTCCCGGGCCTCACCCGAGTCATGTCACGAGACCCCGGTTGCGTTCGTTTAAGCAGCCAGGCAGAATCCCAAGCAGAGATCAAAGACTCTACACTTCCTGTCTGCTGGAGCCATTTTCGCGCACAACAGGCAGGTAGGCGTCGTGGTCATCGGAGTTCGAGAGCATGAAGGTTTGCCTCGCAGCTGCACTTGCCGCCGCCCTTACTGCGACGGCGATGTCGCAGGACTCTCCCGCGGAGCTTCTTCGTGAGCTGCAGGCCCAGCGGGAATTGTTGGAGGAGCAGCGAAAGGAGCTCAAGCAGATGACCGAAACCCAGGAGAGCATGGCTGGCGCCAT